GTGTGTGACCTACTGTGTTTATTTTCCCGCTGCAGCTCAGATTGAAATAATCCCCTGTAAGATTTGTGGAGATAAATCATCAGGGATCCACTACGGCGTCATCACCTGTGAAGGCTGTAAGGTAAGCTCCTCCTCCTTCCTGTTGTCTGCTAAAGTCAATTTGAGCGTGTTATAACCTCAGTTAAACCCAACTCTAAAATACAGTAAAGGGTCCAAAATGTACGGCCTCCTTCACATCGTCCAAAGTTATCCAATGAGTCAGTTTGGATTCTGGCCCCCGGTGCTCATGTTTCATGTCCCTGCTAAGCCTTTCCAAGTCGTTCAATCACAGACTGATCTTTGGTTACATCTGTGCAACAATTAATGTTTGAGAATAGTTTGCACTTTGAACCCTCCGTATTTTGTCTTTTTTTCTTTAACCAGGAAAAGTCCTCTGCAATCATCCATCGCTGGCGTTTTTATGTGGCACAGCTCACCAGTGCATTTATTGTGGTGTTAAACCAGCTTTCACTGACGATGTAGTTGATCATTTGAGTTTAAAGTATTTACACGTATTGCAATATGATTTTCTACCCATACCTCTTCAGGCACGTTTGTATGTTTCGTACAGAATTTGGTCTGAAACATCAGTCACGAGCATCGGGCTCTAAACCATATTCTACCTGATGAGAGCGGTTCTGTGAACAGGCAGGTGTATTCAGCCACAGCAGCTGCTGATGTGACAGCTGGAGGCTTATTTCACAGCCAGCATGCAGCTGAAGCAGCCTCCAAACAAACCACAACATCTGCACTAAGTCGCACGTTAGATGTAAATGATCTGCTGCTAATATGACATAATGTTATTACATAATGTCATCTGAGAGAAATCAATGTTTTCCCTTTAAAGTTACTACTGTTCCCTTGAGCTTGACACAGAATGGCACCATTTGTTAATTTAACTATAATTTGAATTACAGACATTTTTATATTTTATAATTTTGATGCATTTCCATTCAGATCTATACAGGCTATAGTGGCTCTATGAGAAGAAGAGTTATAGGCCATCTGTGATGCATCTATAAACTAGCGTGATCACGTGAACGTGAACAGGCACTATAAACGTACCGGGGACATGGTGATCGTGGGCTGAACCCCAGTTTGCTTCATGTATTTCTTCACACTTTCAAAGTGCTGTGAACGTTTCCTTTTCACTACATGGTGCTGAATGTAATGTTGACTTTTATTCTATAACTATGATGCTGACATCTCTAAAGCATTCTCACACGTTTTATGTGGTTCCCACATTTCTTGTGGTAAAATGCAATGGAATAGAAAAGAATAGAATAGAATAGGCCTTTATTGTCATCGTGCATATACAATGAAATTCTGCTTTTTTCCCCATCAGGTTGATAAACAGTTAACAGCTCCTCTGTGCTCTACATGGCACATGGTCTCCATTCTTTGCCTTGTGATTACATTCACATTTCTGCATTGCCTGTTAGATATTCACTGACTGCTTGTCAGAGTGAGCTGCTGACAAGCAGACTGAAGCTAGCAGAAATAACTTTCATGTGTTTGTCATCTGATAGCCTTTGCACTCCTTGGTTTACCAATGTCTATGTATATGCTAATAGGCCAGTCTGCCATTACTCTGTAAAATGGCTCATACAGAGGTACACGGGTGGATACGGTTTGTTTGTTGTTGTTACTGTTGTTGGACATCCGATGAACACTATATTGTGAAGCATTTGCTCATCTGCATTCACACAGTGACATTCATTTTTTAACCCAAAGGGTTTAACGGGATGTGCCTCGTCCTTTGCAGCTGTAACAGCTTCAACTCTTCTGGAAAGGCTTTCCACCATGTTTAGGAGTGTTTATGGGAATTTTTGAACATTCTTCCGGAATCGAAAGGAGGAATGCTACATCAGGTTAGACACTGATGTAGCATGACAAGGCCTGGCTCACAGTCTGCGCTCATCCCAAAAGTTGAGGTCAGGACTCTGTGCAGGCCAGTCAAGTTCTTCTTCGTT